TATTCTATGTGGCTGGGGGTGGACCTCTTGCGTCTTATCGCTGTGTATTTACTCATATGACCATCTCCAGTGGCCTAGTTAGCGGAGCGTCTTGCATACGGTATTACGCATGAATGCTGATTATCGCATTCTTAACCTCATTGCGTGTCCATGTGTTGTCATCTTTGCTCTTTCACTGCAAAACACTTTTCGCAAGTCTCCAGGCACCTAGGTAATGACTTAACTTTTCAATCCCAAATTTGCTCCTCAACACTGTCATTGGCCGGAACCAAAATTAAGCCAACTCCTCTTATTTGAATCAGCCTATCAGGGAAATTAGGAGGAGAGGAGAATTGACGGACACAACTTAGTTAGGACCTCTGGCTCGGCAGAGAATTTAGTCTAAGATTTTTAGTCGTCTATCAACTTTAGAAGTTGGCGGAGGCAAACCCCCATCACACGCGCTAAAGAATAATTCTAAGTATAAAATTTTGCTCATAGCGACTCATAAAGAGATTTAGCTTAATCCATAAGCGGACGGTTGTAAGATGAGCTTATCGAGTGCAATTTGTGCGAGTGTAACACCAGCTGCTTGTAATCCTAAACTAAATCAGACTGTGTGAATTTATACAGCCGAGTATCTTTAAGAAGAACAATAAAGTGTTGTAGTGGTACAGTGAATTGTGTTGGTTAGAGGTGCTTCACCCTCACTTGTCCTAGCTTGACCCGTATCCGACCTGAAGAGAGACTCATCTCCACTAGGTAGTCAAACCCATCACCAGCCTTCACATGCTCACGTCTTCCCCCCCTTTATAGTGAATCGTAAGCAGTTTCTAGCTGTTCGCTGGTGCCCATACCATCAGGTTCTATCCTGAAATTCAAACCCCCAATAATCCCAACTGAAGGAAGAAGCGGTGGAGCCGGGTCACACCGAAACCAGTCACGACCTAGCAACTTCAGCAGCGCAAGACCAGGTAGGGCAGCGTCAGAGTGGTCATCGGAGCAGAGGGGCCAATCGTCATCGACTCCCGCTCCCTGCACTACTATTCAGACGGAGCCGCAGGCGGAAGGGCAACAAAGGAGCTGTTATAACTGACGCCAAACGTGGAAGCAAACGGTTACAATACTTGTACCACTGCGTAGCCGAAATCCATAAGAAGCGGCTGTCGGATCGCGCACAACTGCGATTACGAACGTTGCTGAAACTGAAGTGCAGTCGCGTCTGACTCGTAGAGAGTGATGGGACTATTGCAAACCGAAGAGAATCATATGTAGGATTTCTGGTTCTTACAGCTGTGATTATGAAGAGTCATATGTCCAGGGATATAACGCAGTGAAGCTCGTTGAAAATCAATCAGCATCTCGGAGGAATATTCCTCCTCCATTTTCATGGCCGAAAAATAAAAAAAAGCATAAAACCAAACCGAAACCAAGTTTCATAAAGTCCTGCTCAGGGAAAGATTCACAGATACACAGACACGCAAACAGCATGAAAATCGTATAAGCCTAATTTAGGAAACTAAGCTAAAGATGGATTCTTGAAATGGTTAAAGAACACTACAATGACTGTTGAAGTCGCGAGTTCGAATCCCGATGAAGTCATTGGATTTTTCTCAATTAACCTAATCCTTCCTGCCGGACTATGGTCCTGGGGGTCGATTCAGACTCTAAAGAAATGAGTACCAGGTATCTTCCTGAGAGATAAATGGCGGCCGGTGCTTAAGGTTGACAACCTTACCGCCACCTGTGAGCCGACTGTCTAGAAAATGTGGGAGCCTCGACGTCTCGCAACCCTATGGGCTTCCACGGCTTGTTATAGGGATAGCGTTACCTTTTTTATCTTACCACGACTGTTGAAGGACTCTTGATAATGCTGTTCGCTAAGTGTAACCGTTCGGGACAGAAATAATTGCGGTACCTGTTAAACCTCGGAGGAAGCAGGAGGGCCTCTGAACTGGAGCCCGCAATCGAAATCAGAGTAGAATACAATATAGAGCTGGGAGCAGCGACTTTCAGGAGAACAAATGGGGTTAAATTGGGGCCGTAATTCCCAGCAGCAGACTAGAGTTGCGAATAACCGTGTGCTAATGAGAGAAAGAGAGAGAATTACACTGTGGCGGGACTTCACTCTCAGGAGATCAGACCAAAGTCGATAAAAAACTTGGTAAGAAGAAGCTCCCAAGCCATACCCAGAGGTGGCCGGTTAATGATATAGAGTGTTTCGGTTAGCAGAAATTCATAATTTTGCTTGTATATGTTATCCACGGGGTAATTTCAGTATGTTACCCCGACGTTTCTCGGTTGATTTCGACGGACTATACGACGTTATGTCCCAGAAGACAGAACTCTTCATTACCACCGCTCTGAGAACCTCAGACCCTACACAGCGCTATAACCCAGAGGGCAGAACTCTTCGTAACCACCGCTGTGAGAATTTCAGATCCTACACGGCGCTACATCTCAGAAGACAGAACTCTTCATACCCACCGCTGTGAGGACCTCAGATGCTACACTGCGCTACGTCCCAGAAGAGAGAACTCTTCATAACCACCGCTGTGAGAACCTCAGATCCTACACGGCGCTATATCGCAGGAGACAGAACTCTTCATAGCCACCGCTGTGAGAATTTCAGAACCTACACGGCGCTACATCCCAGAAGACAGAACTCTTCATAAACACCGCTGTGAGGACCTCAGATCCTACACAGCGCTATGTCCCAGAAGACAGAACTCTTCGTAACCACCGCTGTGAGAACCTCAGATCATGCTCAAATAAAAGCCGTCTCCACGTAGGAAGTACCATGCAACTTAAGAAATAGGTCATTAGGCCTACATACTGTCACGTGTGGGAGTGATTTTAGACGCGGTTTGGATTGGTGGGTCAATTTTTTGGATCTTCACCAGGCGAACTACAGCTAGTTATAACGTTTTCAATCTTACTGTAACTATTAACACTTCATAACTACGAACCATGAAAACACTCTAAAGGTTGCCGTAACTACAAAAACAAAACTTCGTGGTTCTAGTCCGCAAGCCAACTATACCGACCGAGCGACCGCCGCTTGTCGGCGAAATCAGTGCCTATTTTAGCGGATAGAGGGTGTCGCGTTGTCTGCGCATCGAATTTTTGCTAAAGTCAGTTATAGAACTCTTACGGCTAGAAGAAAAAGATTTTCTGTTACTTCATAAACAACATTCTTATACCTATATAAAATAGATAAATAGATATATAATTTTTTTAATGCTGGTGGGGTGGGACTAAGTTCCTTGTACTGCGGCCACTTCTGGCCTTTTGTACCAGTTCCAGATGATAGGTGAGGGTGATTGTGGAGCAATTGGTGGAATGGAGAAATACTCCGAGAAGATCTGCCCCAGCACCACTTTGTCCACCACAAATCCCACTTCACCAGACCCGGGATCGAACCCGGCCCGCCGCAGTGGGAAGCCAGCGACTAACCGCTTGAGCTATGGCGCGGCCCATATAGATATGTAAGAAAATTTAAGAAGTAATTGTACTGATTATTAACAGTATTCTCTCAGATTTAAGTAAAGATCTATATTAAGAATCGCGGGGTTACCGCTATTACAGAATAAGATGTTTATAAGCATGTGCTACAGAAGGCTGGAGGGGCTTTGCCTAGGCTCTTTTTGTATTTACAATATTTTTTCTAGAATAAAAAATAGAAAAATTCCCACGGGCTTTAATTTCGGTTTTCTAGATCGGAGCCGCTATTTCCTTGAAGTAGCTCCTCAATTATCTTCACAAGGCTGATTGGACTCCGTTCCACACCCACTACTTCTCAGAAAATCTGGTAGCGCTGGGAATCGAACCCGGACCTCTGGATTTATAGCCAGGATCTCTGACCACTAGACCACACATAAAATAAAGACCGTTTCTAACTTCTGATTTCTTCTTCTGACTTGAGTCTGAGTCTTATATTACGACCGAAAGGTCAGTCGGCCTCTATTTCTTGGAATAAAACACCCATCCAAGCGTTATGACCAGATTTTTATTACTTTCAGACAGTTGCGTGTTCGCTGATACGGAGCGCTCTCCCTGACGAGAGGATGGGTCTTTCGTTTACAATAGCTGATGGTCCTCGCCAGTGCAGTCATTGTAGGGTCCGAGCCCGTGGGATTTGAGACCATATTTTACTGTTTCGGATCCGAGACTTCCCTTTTCGTCGCCTCCTATGACGCGCAGGGCTACGGTGAAGTCATTCGAGTCTGGCTCCACATGGGATTTCATCTGATTCTCTCTCTCTCTCTCCCTCTCTGACTTCTGTTTATGACTGCTAAGCGATCGTGATAGCAGCCACCGCCTCTAAGGGTGTCACTTTGCGTATATCTCTTTTAAGAAGTCGTTCCTATGCAACCTAAAATTCGTTGCTGTGGTTATTAGTGTTCAGCTGCTAAAGTTACACTGCGTGCAATGAATCGTAGTACTCGAAACGTTGCGTAGCAATGGGCGCCTATTTTCGAACGCTTGGAAATATGTTTACCTATTCGTTTCCTAGAGGCGGCCCAATCTGTCACAATATTATATTGTTAACTTTATATATTGTGCACTTGCGAGATACAAACACTACAATCGCAACATTCGCGGATGACACAGCCCTGCTAGCAGCAAATAGTGATCCAGTAGTAGCATCACAACATCTTCAGCATCATTGAAACCTCCTCCAGTAACGGTAGAGCAAATGGAAAATCAAAATAAACCAGACAAAATAAATGCAAGTTACATTCACCACGAAACGCATAACTTGCCCGTACGTTACCATCAATAATATGCAAATACCGGTTCAAATCAAAGTAAAATACTTGGGATTATACCTCGACCAAAAACTGACATGGCAGAAACACATCAAAACAAAGTGTCAGAAATTAAATTTAAAACTACGAGAAATGTCCTGGCTTTTGGGCTGTAAAACAAAGCTATCCATAGAAAACAAACTTCTACTATACAAGTGTATAATAAATCCTACATGGACAAATGGTATACAGCTATGGGGCTGTACAAAACCATAAAACACAAAAATAATTCAAAGACTTCAATCCAAATTCTTGCGCTCAGTAACTAAAGCACCTTGGTATGTCACCAACTGTACTGTCCACAATGATCTGCAAATCCAATTTATGATAGAAGAAATACATAGATTTTCAACACTCTGCCATCAAAGCATATTCGGACACAATAACACACTAGCTGTAGAAATTAGCAACCCACCAAATGTAAGAAGAAGATGGAGGAGACAGTGGCATACTGACCTACCACAACCCGCAAATGACGGAGATTAAAACCATCACCGTTCCTCTACAGGACCTGTCAGAGTATCATCAGTGGATGACTTCTCTACTCAAGATACCTACTTAGAACAAATTTACTTACGTGTATTACTCCATATTATCGAGGATAGATTGTAAACATGCTATTAATTAAATAAAATATTACGAGATACAGGCGTAGATGAAGTGACGTTTTTGGCAGACTTTCCCAACAGACTTTTCATCCGTGACAGATGATCCAAATGTAGTTTATGCAACACTGGATCTTATTTAAATGCTCTTTCACAGGGGAGAAGAAACATATTCTGTATCGGTTTAAGTGACGCAATTCTGAGTCAAGACGTGTATATAACTGAGTAAGGAGAATATCTGAAAGTTGAGACACTTCATTTATACACAAATGATATTGTATTCAGAGTCGAAAACTATTATATCCCCGAAGAAAAAAAAATCCGGGATAGAATTCTCCGAAATTTCGGCCTGCAGGAAATAATCGACATTTTGTAAGATTCAATTTCTCTTAGGAAAGTAGGTAATTTAGATTACTCACACTTGACGTCGATTTGTACGGAGATGGGTTCGCTGGCTCCCACCACGTTCTGGGCTTCACACGTGTACGTGCCTGAGTCACGACGTCCCAGTGGCCGGAACTGCAGTGTCTCCTCCAGACTGGCGATGTCGCTGCGTCCCATTCGCTTCCATACGATTTTTGCTGGAGGGTTGGCGTCGGCAAGGCATCGAAGCACGATGCTGTCTCTCCCTTCCTCCAGATCCTGTGTCGGGGCACCTTGTAGGCGCACTTCCGGAGGATCTGCAAAAGAATGAACAGTTTAAACTTAAATAAAACAAGGCTATATTAATTTCACCTGTCTTCGGACCACTTACTGATTCATGTGTTCAGGCCCATAAGTTATCAACATTCCCACACAGTCATCGAACTGAAAAACCATGTTGACTACCTGGCCAACTAATTAGTCAGCTAACCCTACCTTGAAAACCTGGCTGTTTCTTAATTTGGCAGATGTTATTACTGAGCATCTTAACACCCTTCCTCCTATTTTCCAGGCAAACAGCAGGTTATTGTAGCGGTAAGTTCAAGATTTGTATTCGAGAGAGAACAGGTTCGAGTCGTGGCCGAGTTACTGGATATCCTTCCTGACGTTTTTCGTGGATATCCTCAGTCTCTTTACATGAAACCACCAACTCATCACATAAATCCATTCCTGTTCTGCATTTTGATAATTTCTCTATCTTCTACTTTCATCTATGCAATTTAAATGGGGCTGTTTAATGCTCTAAGATCAGTATAAAGTCAAGAAGATGCTGGAACGATGCTTTAAATTGGTCATGGTCGCTTGATTCCATGCCCTTCCTGTTTCTGAAATACTAAACTTAGTCATTATTATTATTCACGGAGCTGAGCCATTCTTGAGGACAAGCCAATTCTGCAGCTACTCAAGAATTTCTCAGCATTTTATGGAACCCGAAGGTTCATTACCGTGTTCATAAGAGCCCTATACTGGTCCCTATCCTGAGCCAGATCAATCAATTCCAAACCATCCCATTATATCTCTCTGAGATCCATTTTAATAATGTCCACCAATTCACGCCTTGGTCTTCCCAGTGGTTTCTTTCCTTCTGGCTTTCCAACCAATATCCTATATGCATTCCAACAGTCCAAACGATTGGCCGGCCGGCCGCACCACACATCTCAGTTTTGCCTTTCAGTCTTCAACTGTGCAGGCCGAACGTGAGGCCAAACTGTGTGTCTATGGGGACCCTAACACAGCATAAAAAAGGGAGGAGAATTATGCTCTTCACTTATTTTCAAATTCAACATTATTCTTTGCTATTCTGCATGTCTGATTGTTATTAACGTTCATTTACTGTCGACAGAAACATGCTGCATATTGAAACCGCAGAACGGATAATGAATTGCGCAAAACTGGCCAACTCTTTTCCTATGCATCACATAACAAGTAGTTCCAAATAAAATGTTGCAACCGTAATGAGGTCCATACGTCTGACTCTTGATAATTATTTCTACTTGGTGAGAACCGCCTCTGTGGTCTAGTGGTCAAAGTTCCTGGCTACATATCCAGAGGTCCCGGGTTCGATTCCCAGCGCTAACAGATTTTCTGAGTAATAGTGGGCCTGGAACGGGGTCCACTCAGCCTAGTGAGGATAACTGAGGAGCTATTTCAAGTAAATAGCGGCTCCGGTCTAGAAAACTGAGATTAACGACCGAGGGTATCCGTTGTGCTGACCACGTGACACCTTCTATCAGCAAAAGAAGTTGGCACTAACTTCGCCGACTAGCGGCATTTGCTCGGTCGGTATATTTCGCTTGCGGACTACAGGTCATTGTGTTTGTTAGTTTAGGTATTTTTGATAAGTCTGACAAGTTCTACGTACACGTCAATACGAAACGTCATCGAAATCTGTAAATTAATGTCAGAAATTAAACAGTAGGACATGTAGAAGTCCAAGTTTCATGTCATTTCATGCACTACGTGGAAATGGGAAAGACTATTCGTCCACAGTTCGAACATTTTGACCCTTCCATAGAGGTCAAATTATAAATGGTTCTGCCAGGCGTTTCCCGTATCATTTACATTCCTCTTCCCCTCCTGAGGGTCTCATTCAGACACTTTCTAAAGCTGGAGTGTCGCTAACAGCATTCTTGTGTTGTGATTTGTCTTTCTACGTGGTGCATGACGGGAGGAGTAACATTGTCACGTAGATAGCATTCTGGAGAGCTCTATATGCGAACCCAAATCACATATCCACTTTCTTATATTTCTTCCAGTATTTTATCTCTTTTTGCTGAAACCTAGTTTGCTGTCCGATTTCACTCCATCACTCAAGTGTGGGCAGATAGCCCTGTCATCATTTGTCCGTAAGAGGGAACGGAGTAATGGCGTCTACCACATGAAAGAGGGAATGACGGAAGTGCTTTTCTTACACACAGAAACCTCATGAAGGGCATGTTTCTTCTCGTGTAAGCTTTATAGGTTATATGAAAAGTGACAAGAGTTTTTCTTCCTGAAGTGAGAAGGAATTTTTTCCAGTATCCGTAGATATTATGAAACTTCTTACATGGTCTTTTTCTTACATAAAACACAAAAAGCAACAAATCATAATTTGTGTTACAATGTAACACGTGTTGCATGGTTATATTGGAAGATACGTCGCGGTTTATCTTATAAACACAAAGAAGGAAATTTGTATTTGAGAATTTTATCCAGTAACCTCTGCATCAAGTGCACTACCTGGGGAAATTTGAAAAAACAAAATAAATATTGGGTATAAACAGAGGCATCTGAATTACTCCTATTAAACAAGTTCCCATTTCTAACGATAATTATTAGTTGTAAGATTTGAGGTTTCCACGACGGTGACTATGAGAATGTCGTCTTCTGGGGTGTGGCGGCGTGTAGAATTTGTGTGAACCGACGGTTAGGGGGTGATACGTTTCTACGAAACGTCGGTTCACATATGATATACACTGCGCCGCATCCCATTTTCATATTGATCTCCCATCCATGTCCCATATATGTCAGGGAGATGATACACAGTAAACAACACATACAGGAACTGAATCGATCACCAATATTCTAACAGCACTCGCACATCATAAGACACACCACAGACAGCAAACAACAAAACCGACCATAGGAAATACTACCACATATAACAAACCAAAAACCACGACGAGACTACATGCAGTGAAACGCACAAGCCTACCGAACCAATACATAAAAAAAAAAAAAAAAAAAAAAACTGAAACACGAACGAACACCACTTCACAGTAATATTTTCGGATTGCGCAGTGACGCAACACAATATACCCAATACTGTCCATTACATCATAAAGAACGTAACGGGCAAGAAATTAGAACACGGAGATGCACGAATATATCTGCATCGCATCGTTTATAACAAATATGCACACAGTGTAGATTAAAATGTACGATCACATAGTCGCCCCTCTTAAAAACGAACACAATATAGCGCACCACGACCACACCTAGACTATTATTTTATGTACATATTGCATATCACATTGCAAATATATTTTCGTAAACTCATCTCTAAACACGCATGAAAGTTTCAATTTTCTGACATTTCAAAATGGATCCAGTTTCATCATATAATCCCAATACAGCACAAACACAGTACATTTATTGTTTTCATTCATACGCACCTGATGATAGTGTAAAAGATCGAAACATGTAATTTGAGTACGGTAATAAAGTGACAGACAAATTTTTTCTTACTTGGTCTCAATCTTTTTATTATACAATAATAAAAACTTGTTGTGTGATGGTACAAAATCTTTCATATCATAAAGAGAACAAGATGAGTTATTAAAAATATAAAAGAACTGCGCTGAAGAAGAAGTTATTTTAAGTGCGAATTTTTAATGATATATGAATAAATAAGTAAATACTTACTGCGCTGTTATGCGCTGATAGTGAACTGGATTCTAATTTGATTTATGCAGCTGTGTATGTGAAAGAACACGGTATTAGTAACAGGTCAAGCTGACATCGCGGGTTTCCCATTAAGGTCAAATTCCGTGTAATTCGATTTCCGGATCTCCTACATGTGGTTGACCGTAGTCATGTTAGTGTGATACATGAAGCTTGATTGCCCAGCATTCCTCATTTATGACTGAAACGAAGGAATGCCAGTGAGGTTTTTATTTTCGGAATGAATTTCAATTTGGAGAATTCTGAGATGTACGTAGCCTTCTGTAATGGCGTCTGTAGGACATGAATTCAATGTGACATGGCAGGAATTCAATTCAATATGCTGAAAATTTTAGTCTGAAAATTTTTGGGAGCATAGCACGTGGGAGACGCAAGCCTGGGCAGGAGGATAATATTAAAACACATCTCAGAGAAAGAGGGAGTGATGGTGAAGACTAGATTGAAGATCGCCATGCAGATTTTTGTGAACACGGCAAGTGAACCTTCACGACAAAAGAAATTTCTTGATCAGCTTATTAAAAAACCCTTCAAGGAAGAACCTATCCTATAAAGGTAGTCGATCCGTCAGTTACTAATTCGTTGCCACTTCAATTATCTGGTAATAAGTGGGTGGAAGTTACCAGGTAGAAAAAATTGTCTAACTTAAAATTTTACAAATTTAGGAAATTACGTGCCGATCACAGTGGCTGTGCGGTCTAAGGCATGAACCGTCTTCGCCCGCTCCAACACTGGGGGTGTAGGTTAAAATGTTACTTGAGCCATGGATGTCTGTGTTCGTTTATTCTGTGCTTGTGTTGTTCTGTGGACCGCCTCTGTGGTCTAGTGGTCAGATCTCCTGGTTACAGATTCAGAGATCCCGGGCTCGATTCCAGGCGCTAACAGATTTTCTGAGTAATAGTGGGTCTGGAACGGGGTCCACTCAGCCTCGTGAGGATAATTGAGGAGCTAGTTCAAGGAAATAGCTGCTTCGGTCTAGAAAACGGAGATTAACGGCCGTGGGGATCCGTTGCACTGACCACGCGAAACCCTCTATCCGCTGAAGTTGGCACTAACTTCGCCGACAAGCGGCGGTCGCTCGGTCGGTATAGTTGGCTTGCGGACTACAGGCTACGGAGTTCTTTTTATTTTGTGCTATCCTGTGTGTAGGTAGCGACCTTTCGACCCGCTGATTTCACGTCCAAGGAGTTCTACCGGCTGTGTAAAGGATTAAGAAACTGAAAAAGCGTCCAAGGTCCAAAGGGCTGTAGAGCCATAGAGAGAGAGAGAGATGAAGTTACGTTAGAGTTAGAAAGATTCTCCGGCATAACCTTTCTGC